ACGGACACTTGGGTGCCGTGTACATGTGCTTTAAAAAAATATTTTAGCAGTTTTTTAGCAGGTAAGCGATCTCGAGAACCAGACAAAGTAAAGGGCTGAAAATTTGTAGGGATGCCCTCCGTGCAAGTGTTAGCTAAAGATTTCAAATTCAACCTCCAGGTTGTCGTGGCACTCACGTAAAGGCGTATGAAAATTTTGGCACGAAAATTGCTAGCTCGGGAATCAGAAAAGCTAGAAAGTTGAAATTTTGGGGAATGTCCCCTGTCCAAGTACAGCTTAATTTCAAATCCAGCCCTCAGTTATGCGTGGTTCTTATGTACGAGCACGTGAAAGATTCGGCGGGAGAATAGATAACTCGGCACAAGAAAAGCTGCAAGGCTGAAATTTTAGGGGGATGTTCCCTATCCACATGCAATTTAAAAATTTCAGTTTAGCTTCCTAGGCACGTAGAGTATCCATGTACGAGCATGTGAATGTTTTGACGGGAAAATTGCTAACTCGGTAACCAGAAAAGCTGGAACACTGAAATTTTGGGGGAATGCTCCCTGTCCAAATACAACCCACATATTTTAAATTTAGCCGCCTAATATGCGTGATACACACGTTGGGAGCTCCTCCAATGGTCAACGGTTAAAAGGTTGCCAGACAGGGAACCCTGGCGCTGCCTGGCTTTCGAGGAGTAGTTTGGGTATTGGTCGTAGTCCGATAGGCAGCAGTCCTGCCCAGCTGCATGGTTCCTAAAAGGGTTTGTGCCTTTGGCCGAGCACATTCTTTCTCTGGTCAGCAAAATTAAAACCACTTTTAATTAAGCTATTTCATCCGGCAGACTGGCCACGGATGTTTTAGCTCAATCACTGGGTGGTCATAAGTTGAAGCACTTTTTCCGCAATGATGTACATGGTCGCATTATCCGTATTACTGAAACTATTGATAAAATTCGCTATTACACACATGCCTGCGGCAGTAACTGTATATGCTGCCGTATGATTCTTTCCGACGGATTGGTGCAATTCTCCGTCATCAGCTCCCGTTTTTCCTCCTATGCAATTCCAACGAATTACTTGCAAAACAACTATTGTCGTACACGTAATTACGTGTAGAATTTGCGGCATACAGTACGTAGACAATTACAGTAACTCGGCTTGGCTCGGCTCGGCTCGACTCATACACGAGCCACAAAAATTTTTTTCTCGTTATGGCAGGGAGGGCTGCCCTACG